GCTTGGGGTGAAGGTCCACATGATGGCGTGTCACCCCTCCTCGTCTGTGCCCAGCTGGAGCACGAGGCCCCCGAGGGCACTATGTGATGCTGATTTTGCTGTCTCTCCTTCACGGTGCAGGTAAGGTCCACTGGACCAAGGCCGAGATGAACTGATTCATTCCTCACTCTGGTCCCCTAAGGGCCGGGCAGCGCCTATGTTACGGATGAGAAACGGACCCCCCGGGAAGGACTTGCTTTCCATCTTTGGGGTTCCCTTCAGCTTGCGGAAAGCAGGGTCTGTTCTAGGGCACCCCAGTCTAGAAAATACTGTTCCGTGTCTGCTGCCTGGAGGCTCAGCCGTAGTCTCCGGAGTTCAGTGCCTCCAAGCGCCCCAGCCCGAGGGAGAAAAGCTTCAGGCAGGGGCGTGTCCTGCTTGGGAGCCCGTCTGGGGCAGAAGCGGCCCTGTCTCAGCGCTGGCCCCGGAGTCCAGGTCACTGGAGCCCAGCCTAGAGCTGTATCCGGGTGCTCCCTCCTGACCAGGTCCAGTGACGTCCTGCTGTCCGTCTGACCTCCTCCTGGGTCAAGGGGCTTTGTCCTGGGGGCAGGGCCATGTTGCTGGGGCGTTCCCTGGCACCTTCGCTTCCTCTGCTGCCCAAAGAGCAGGATTTGGGCGGCGCCAGGACAGATGGCCCCCTCCAGGCTGCTGTTGGCAGGGGGCGCGGGGAGGTGGCCGGGGAAGAGTCTGGCGCCAGTCTCGGGGGCACAGGGCCGGAGGAGGCTGGCAGGCCTGGCTCAAGGAAGCTGCACAGTGGGAGGCCTCCTTGGGAGCTGACCTTGTTCCTGTGGCCTCTGGCCCACGGCTCTGGGGCGGTCCAGGGCTATTCCTGGGCACTGCAGCCCGGTGGCATCTGTCCCGTCCTCCGGCTGGGCTCTGATGCAGCTTCCGCCCAGCCGGGCCACCAGTGGCCCCAACTTCCTTTGTCCAGCTGCCCCCTCCCTTCTCATCTGGCTCTGCCTGCTGCCCGCCCTCGTCCATGGGGGAGCTGGGCCGTGAACTGGCTGTGGCTGGGTGGGCGGGAGCGGCGTGGAGGAAGCGACTGGCACAGCCCAGGCACGGGGCACCTGGGGAGCCTGGGGGCGAGCCTGTGGCCCCTTGCTGTCTGCTGGTGCCGGGCCCCCCAGGGGCTCAGGGCGCCGAGTGGCCGGCTGGGCTGGGCGCTGGCATTTCGTGTTTCTGTTCCCCAAGTTGGGGTGCCTCTCCGTGGCTCGGGCCGTGGGCCACCTCCATCCCCCACACAGCGTGGACATGTGCTCCGGGCACAGCATAATGGATCGCAAGTCAGACGCGTGGCGGCTGGAAGTCTTTTCTCCTTCCTGCCTCCATAGACCAGCCACTCATTGCCGTTCCCGTGCCCGGACACCGCTGAGGGCAGCCGCCTTGGCCGCTCTGTCCCTTTCTTCTGCCCTCCTGTGCTGGGTGCATGGAGACCTCTTGGGCTGCGAGAGTCCCTAGCGCTGTGCACCCGGCCTCTGTCACTTCCTGCTGTCTGTCCTGGTCACTGTGGTGTGCGTGCTGCCCTCCCGTCCTCCCAGAGCTATGCCGCACGTCTCCCTTCAAAGCCGGGTGGCCAGCTCCTTCCTGCTTCTGCGCGGACGTGACTTGAGCTGCTTCCTCGGGGGGCTACCAGACCCGCCCCGTCCGGGTTCTTGCCATGCCCCCCAGGTCCCTGCGCCCTCCTGTTGGAGCCCTCATCACGGGACACTCTGGCTGACTCCCAACTAACGTTCATGTCCCCAAGGCCAGGACCAGGCCACCGCGTTCACACTGGACACGGTGGACACAGGGTGTATCTGCCTAGTTGTGCCCCGGCTTCCCAGGTGCCCGCCTGGGCTCCTCGTAGCCCCTCCAGGACAACACGGCCACTCTGGGGCCGCCCTGCAGACATCTGAGGAAGGTGCTGGGTCCCCGCCTGGGCAAGCCGGTCAAGGCAGACATCCCCGCAGCCCGCTGCTCTGTTTCCAGACTCCTCTTTCTGGATGATGGTCTCACTGGAATCTTAGAATGAAGCTTTGGTGTGTCAAGATGAATCACATCTCAAGTTTGGAGGAAAAATGAGCCCTAAGCGGTCGTTTGACACAAAGCAGCCGTTCCTTTTTCCTTCCCCAGAGTTAGCTGCTCCTGAGCCCGCAGATCTCTGGATGGCAGGTGCCGCCCTCGGTCCCGTGCTCCGTCGCTGCTGCTGCCCACCTGGCGTGTCGGAGTGCAGGGTGAGGACTGACGTGTGCGTTCATGCACACGCTCGCACACATGCGCTTGCACACGTGCTCACGCACACACGCACGTGCTCTCGCGCACACACGCTTGCTCACACGTGCTCACGCGTACACGCACGTGCAGACCCGCACACACACAGCGGCTGAGCCCACGTGTACCCACATGCTGGAGCACTTGCACACGCACACCCGAGCACACGCACGTTTGTCCGCTGCCCCTCGCTCCCCCCGGGACCCCTCCGGGCTGCACGTCCCGTGGCAGGTGGAGGCTTTCCCTAACTACATAGCTGCTGGGGCCGGATCTCGTGGTGAACCTGGATCGGCCTCCCTTCCCGCTCACTGCGTTTCCCTGGAGCCTGGTCGTGTCCCAATGCCACCGTCTTCCCTCTCTCCACGAGGGAGTCTCTCTGGAACCTTCTGCCACTCCGCCAGCCAGTCTCTCTCCCAGCTTGGGCACAGCGTCTGCCCAGGGACCTCCCCTTGCTCCTGCTGCAGGCAGTCCCAGCTGTTCCTGGATCACTGTGCTGGGCGGGGCACGGCCTGCGTCTTCTCCTGGAAGGACAGAGAAGGGCCCGATCCCTGTCTGGAAGCGTCTTCTGTGCCACTTGGGGCCGCCGAGGTTTTGGGTGCTGTCTTTATGGGCCGTGTGCCCCGCAGGGCAGGCCCCTCCCAGCACTCCGCTCCATGGCCATGAGCTCTGGGTCGTGCGTCCCCTTCCCCGGGCGTGTTTGTGTCCCCACGGTTGCTGTCCCCCGGACGTGGGAGCACAGTTGGTCCTGGCCTGTCTTTCCTTCCACTCCCTCGGTGGCTTCCCCCACGCCGTCCCAGCCCCCTTCCACTGAGCTCAGCACTTCTGCGCCCGCCATGCCCTTGCTCAGAGCCTGGGTGTTTGTTTTCTGGGCGCCGACAGCGGCCTGCTGGGAGTTGGGCAGCGCCTCCTGTCTCTCGGGATGGGGGCGAGGGGCCGTGCAGTGAGATCATGGGCACCAGGGTCGCCCTGCCGGATCACAAGCCCTTCTCTGCTGGCCGCCGGCCGCATGGCCTTGGGTGCCCTATCCCTCGTGCCTCAGTGTCCTCGTCTGCACGTGAGGCAGCAGCGGGGCCTCCTTTCAGTCTTTGTGCGGACGGAGTGTGAGCCTGTGTAAGGCGTGTGGGGACGTGCGGGCCTGTGCCTGGGGCTCTGGGTGCCTGCTGCGTGCTTACCCCTTTACGCCGTCCTTCCCGGGACTGCTTTCTCCACATTGCGTCCCCACAAGTCCCGGGCTCCGTCTCCACATCTGACGTGTTCCCGGTGCGGCCCAGGCTGTCATGCACCGGCGAGCGGGCGGGTGCCTGGGACCCGTGGGAAGGAAAACCACGTGCTTTCCCCAGGGGTCCCCAGAGTGTGCAGACTCTGGGCATCCCTGGGGGTCCCCGAGTCCCTGTCGGGTCCGCAGCAGGCCCTGCAGACAACTCCCCTCTGTGCGGCCAGATTCTGTCCTACGCTCGGGCCAGGGTCGCGTCACAGCTGACCGGAAGCAGGCGTGAGAACCAGCCCGTCTGTCGAGCCGCTGAGAGAGTCGCCAAGAATCAGACGCTCTGGCTCTTCTCACCAAATGGTTTTGTCCGGGAGAATGCGGCTCTGTTCCGTAAAGACGTCAGTTTAACGTGTAATGGGTTTCTTGTCACTTTGAAGCAGAGTAATAAATATATCTTAAAAACTTCTTTTTAATTTCTCACGCAGTAAACGTTGGCAGATGTTACCCACGTAAGCCATAGCTCTCGGGGGTTCTGGGTGAGTCCTAGCTGTGGGGGTGCAGGCTCCCACCGACCCCAGGGACTTGGGCCTGCTTCTCGCCGCCCCCGAGCTCACCTGGGTCCTGCTGAGTGGAACCGCGGCTTGCGGGTGCGGAGAGCCCCGCCCGGCCCGCTGGGAGCGCTGCGGGAGCCTCGTGGCGTCGGGAACGTGTGGCCTGTCAGGCAGACGCTGGGCGAGTCCGTGTGCTCCCAGTGGCCCCCGTGCAGACACCCAGAAAACCAGTGACTCTGGAGAGCCCCAGGGGCCCTTGTCACGCTGGAGACGTCCCATCCCTGCCATCCCGGAGCCTCAGTTCCCTGGAGGAGGCGATCCGGTGGGTGGGATGCTGAGCCATCTCCTGCAGGGATGGCTGGAGTCGTGCTCAGGCACCGAGACAGGCGGTGGTTTCTGAGTGCCCGCCATCAGTGTGTGTCACTCTCTCTGTACGGCCGGCCTGGGGGGCAGGTCCTCTCATTACCCTGGCTTTGTGGATGAGGACCCTGAGGCCGGGGACGGTCAGTGTCTTGTCCCAGCTCTGTAGGGACTGTGTCAAGGTGGTTTCAGCCCTGGCAGCCTGTCCCTGGCCGTCTGCTGTCTTGTGTGGCTCAGAAGGACTGAGCTGGAGCTGGAGGGGGGCAGGAGCAGGGGGCCCTGGGGCTCTGCTTGGGACCACCACAGTCTTTGAGAAGTTATTCCCAGTGCCTGTCCCCATATGGGACAGTGGGACAAGGGGGCACCTTGAAGGGGCTCAGTGGGGCCACTGCCTGGGCCCAGGAGGAGCCCAGCTGAGCTGAGCTGAGGGCCTGGGGCTGCCTGGGGTGAGGAGGAAGTGGGGCGGGCTGGCGGGCGGGGCGGGCAGGGGCCCCAGTGCTCCCTGAACCTGAGCACTAACTCCTCTCCTCCCTCCCGACCCGGGTTTTGTCTCCTCCAGCTCTGCTCTGCGGGAGGGCCCTGCTCTCGATGAGAAGATGTCCTACGGATCCATCGCTGGCAGTGGTGGCCTGGGGAGACATGGCCCTTTCGGGGGACCCTCCAGACAAGGCTATCAACCCCTAGGTAATGACAGCGGCTCACAGTGCTGGCGGCGGGTGGGGGGGCAGGTGGCAGTAGGCGGGTCTCTGCTGTCGTGATGGCAGCAGGGGTAGGTGGGTTCTTTCTCACTCATGTTGCCTGTGGCTAGGGGTGGGTGACCCCGGGCTTGGCTGCCTTGGGGTTGCGAGTGCTGGGTTGGCTCAGCAGCACGGGAGGCTTTTCTGGGTGCGGCTGCCCTGCCGAGGGGGCAGACTTGGTGTCTGCCGTCCTCCTGGCACCAAGCCAGCACTCCGTGGGGGCACCGAGCTGCTCTAGAGGTGCCCGGGGGCTTGGCCACTGGCACAGTGGATGGACGGCCTGGCCTGGTCTCCCTAATGACCATGTGGTGCGGGCCTTAATTTTGCAAATACAGAGGAGGAAACCGAGGCTCGTGGGGCCGGGGAGGCACCGCGCTTCTGGCACAGGGCAGAGTAGCACTAAGTTGCCTGCCCTCTCCAGATGCCCTTGCCCTGAGGGCCATGTTGCGGGCTTCCTTGCTGTTCTCTTGGGCTTAGCTGACCTGGCTCTGTGTCCCCACACCACACCTTGCTGGCTTTGCACGTCTCAGAACTTTGTTTATGGAACCCCGGGATTTGTCTTATCGGCCGTTTGCTGGTTTGGCTCCTGAGTCCCCGAGGCCGTGAGTCGCTGTTCCCTTCTGTTTTCCTGCTCCGTGGCTGCATGGCACCCATTCTGGTCCACTTGTGAGGGCCACTGAGCGTGTGTGGCCCGTGGCAGTATGGGGGGCTGTTGGCACTGCCTGGGCTGCCCTTGGCGCCCCGGGCTCACCCGCGGAGTGGGGGCCGGTGTTGGAGGGTGAACGTGTGCAGCCCGAGGGCCGGCGTGGTCTCCTCGGGCTTTCATCTGCATTTCTGTGGCGACTGCTGGCGTGGACCCATTTGTCCTCCAGCGGACTCTCATTTGCCATCATTTTACTGACTTGCCAGGTTTCCTTATGTGCTCTGGAAGAGAAATCCTTGTCCGCTCACCCTGTGTCTCTCCAGTTGGCTTCTCGGTGTGGCACCTGCTGGGGAGTGTGTGTTCCTGGGGAGCAGAGTTCTCCTTCGTGGCTCACTCGAGCCCCTCTCTTCTGACTGGTCTGTGACTGTCTGGTGTGATGAGTCCTACACGCGATGACCCTGGTGTCTCGTGAACTCTCCTTGGATGCTGATGGGACTGTTGTCCGTCTGTGGGCCTGTCCTCGCTGTCACCGGGCTTTGATCTTTGTTTGTGGGGTGGCGTGCGGGGAGGGCGGAACCATGACCCCATATTTCTCTCTCTCAACCATACGTGGTCCTGGGACTGTTTATTCAAAGTGCCGTCCCCTTCCTACAGACCCGCAGAGTCAGAGCTCTTTGATGAAGGGCGTTTCTGTGTAGGTTCTCCTGGTCAGTGTTTCCCTTCCTGTGCAAAATTCTGCCTTAATTTTCAGAGTTAGGGTTTCTGATGTCTTTCACAGCAAGTGGCTCTACTTGTTTTCCCTTGGACATGTCTTGGGTGTTGGGCCCTTTGCTCAGACACACGTTTCAGAATCCCCTCATCAGGCTTGGAGTTTGGGCTGCAGCTGCTGTGCGTCCGCGGCGTGAATGTGGCGAGGACCGGCGTCCGTGCTGTCCATGGGCTCCCAGTCCACGAGCACGTGTGTCTCTTTCTCAAATCTTCTGTCATGGTTTTCAGTAAAGTTTTATAACTTTCGTTATAAAGACTTTATATATCCTTTATTAAGTTTTACAAAAAACCGGCCACATTTTGCTATTAGAAGAGGTACCACTCTGAGCATTACACGTTCCAAATCTTCGTGGCTGGTACATGTATGTGGCGACTGGTTTTTTTGAAAAAGCTTAGTCCAGAGATTTTGATTTTTAAATGCCTTGTTTTTAAACTTCCGAAATATGGACAGTTTCCAACACGGGGAAGCAGACATGATGAGGCAGCGGTCCCCAGTGCTGCCCCCTCTACCTCATCCAGAGTCTGCGGTGGCCGGTCCGGCTGTTGTGACCTCGGGCAGCCGTCGTGTCATTCCGTGGCAAGTCCCAGATGCAGTACGCTTCCCGTCGACCTGTGCCTGTGCCCCCGCAGGGGAGGGGCTCTGTGTGCGCATAACCACAGCGTCCTGCGCACCCGGGCATCTCTGAGGGCTTGGTGGCTCCGTGGCGCGTGGCAGGGCCGTGGAAGACCCACGTGCAGCAGTCGACTGACCGGCTTTTCAAGTCTCTCTGACGCTCGAGATTCCCCTCCAGTGTTTTGAAGTTTGTTTCTCTTTCCGTAGAAGTTAATTTCTGGAAGGAACCACGGTCTTCCTGGGGAGTGTCATTGGTTTTTGTCGCTGGCTTTATGTTGTGCCGTTTTGCTGAGCTCCTGTCGACTGTAAGAATTTGGGGACTCTCTGGTGTTGTGTTTGGACGGGGTCGTGTGTAAGTAGCAGCATTTCTTTCCTCCCCCAACGTGTCCGTTCTTCTCTCCGCCTTTCCGAGCTGCCCAGAGCCTCTGTGACGCTGGGCGACGTGGTGCTCCTGTCCCATGTGGCGTCTGGAAGAATGGGACTGCACGTTCCTGAAGTGTTTCTGGGGTTTTGCTCTGAAACTGTCCAGGCTTATAAAACCGCGTTTCCCTCGCGGCGAGCTGTTTACTAGCACTTCTCCTGTTGCCAACGCCGTCGGGCTCTCCATTTCTTCTTGGGTCAGTTTTGCTAAACTGCGTTTTCTGAGACACGTCTGCTTCACTAAAATGCTCGGATTTATTGAAATTGACTGTGGACAGTAGCCACTGGTGCTGATGGGGCAGCCCTGTGGTGTGGCCGCGGGCCCGGCCGGGCTCTGCCTGCCCCGCTCTGCTGCTCCTGCCTGAGCACAGGCGGTCGCGAAGGCTGAGGGCTGCGCACGGCCCACCGTTGTGGTGCCGCTGTTTTGTTAACGTCCCGGTACCCGCCTCACATCCTCTGTTTTATTTCTCAAAGGGCTCACTTGACTTTCCCTATTTCCTTTTTTTTATAATCAGTGTTGATTGAGGCTTGGCCGTTACCAGTCTCCCCGAGGAACTGAGTCCGGGATTCTTCTACTGTGTGGTTGCTCTCCGCTCACACTTGTATCGCGTCTTCCTTCTGTCTTTGAGTTGATGCTGTTTTATTCTTCTGACTCCTAAGTTGGATGTTTATTTGACATCATTCATCCTCAATTTTTGTTCTTCTGTAGTAAAAACTCTTGAGGTTGTAGGTGTGCGGGTGGTCACTGCGTTAGCTGTCAGACGCTCAGAGGTGTGCAGCGTTTTTAAATTAAAGTTCGGTTGTGTTTTTTATTTCCATTATGATCTGTTTTTTGACTCAGGAATTATTTGTTATTTATTTATTTATTTTACTGCTTTTCCCCCCTCGGATTTATTTAGAACCGTAGTTCATTGTTTCCAACCGTGTTTTTTTTTTTTTCCTAGCTGTTTCTTAAAAACGAGGTCTACTTAATTGCATTTTCGTCAGGAAAGGACCTACGTGGTCCTGGTTTGTTGACCGTCGTCGAGGCCCAGCTGTGGCTGGCACCCCACCCTCTCCTCTGTGGGGGACATGGGAAGGCTCTCGCGGTTGGGCTGGTGCCCCAGGCAGGATGCTGGGGCCACGCGGAGACCCCGTCTGTGCAGGCGCCACTGCCATCACTCGGGACCTGCCGTGTGCCAAGCACCGCAGGGCACACGTGAGCCTGCGGGTGATTACGCGGAGTTTGGGGTGACCCCTTGGGGTAGGATCACGGCAAAAACACAGCAAAAAGCCAACTGGCAGATTACTATACGTAAAGAACTCACATAAATCAATGGAAACCCTAAAAATATTCCTCCAAGTGGGCCAGCCCTGTGAAGAGAGAGGAAAGCCGACCGAGCCTACCCGCTGCCCAGACAGACGGGTGTGAAGGTGGCCGTGTGCCCGTGGAGCCGGTCCGCTCTGGAGGAGAGGGCGTGGGGGTCGGCTGCTCCCGGACCCTGCCGCCGCCCCTTCCCGGGCTGGGCCCTGCTTCCTCCTGCGCCACTAGGATGTCATAAAGGTGGTGTGGGCCGAGAACGCGGGCGTGCGGTCACCACTGTGCTGAGGGAGGCAGCTGTGACGTGGGCGTCAGCTAGAGCTGGAGAAGGTCGCTAGGTGCTTCTGTGCATGTCGGGACACAGTGACAGGTGCGCGGAATGGAGGAAAGTGAAGCTGTGTCTGCAGTCTTCTGATTGTGCGAGACCCCGCCCCTGTGGTCACAGTGTCCACCTCCGCAAACGGTTTTTATCGTTTCTTTCTAATTGTCTGTTTGAACTTTCCCCCATAACTGTGTGTATTCTAATAATCAAGAATGTTGCCTTAGCCCCTCACCCCAAAGTTTAAGGGACATGTGATTCTGGAGGGTGGACCGGACCGGCCCCTTTACAGGTGTCTGGACCACATGGGGTAACCAGGAGGAGGTGGGCAGGGCCTGGGCTTCCGTGACAGCATGTCAGCACGGGGAGGTCATCGCATGGTGATGTGGGCAGTGACGTGGGCCACCGCCAGCTGGTCCCCTTTCTCTCTGCTCCCCACAGGAGGGGCTCTGGGGGCTCCAAAGCAGATGGTGACCCTGGTCACCAGGTGCCTGGACAGCTGTGCCTCTTCTCGCACTGGTCTAGGCAAGTTCCCGGGCCTGCAGGAGAGCCTGGCGGCGGCTGTCTGGAGGGAAGACCCATCCCACAGGCTCCCCACCAAGCCCTTCAGGAAGAGGGCAAGTGACAGGATTTGCCCTGATTTGCCCTGTTGGGAGATGGTCCCTGTCCTGAGGGCTCATGGTCAGACCCTCAGTCCCACAGAGACATCTGGACATAGGGCCTCTGCCATGGCCTCTCTCTCCCAGGCTGTGACTGTCCAGGTCTGTGCCTGCCTCCCCGGATGTCTAGGAGAGCTCTTGTCGTCGGAGTCCGAAACCCACTTTACTCTAGTTGGCTGTGGTGTGGGGACCTCCCTCCCCAATAAGCTGGCTGGCCGCCCTGCCCTTCCTTCTCCCCCATGTTTGGCCGGGAGCCCCGTTGGCTGCCTGTGCACTTTGGGTCCCTGCCGTCTGCAGGCAGAGGATGGCCGAGGTGGCCTTTCGAGGCCTCTCCCCCCCCACTTGGGGCCCAGGGGGGATCACTTGGGGCAGTCCTTCTGTCCCTGTCATGCAGTGCATGAGCTGGACGGGTGTCCTTTGCTCTCCGTTCTTGTGGGAGACGCGAGTCCAAGGTCTTTTCCGAGAAGCAGCTGCCTGGGTCCGGCTGGGACAGGCCATGTTCCCTGGGCTTCAGGGCCGTTATGGGTGTGCTCGGGCAGCTCAGCCGCGACCTCCTAGAGCTCGCTCTGCAGAAACTGCCCTCCAGAGAGCTCCAGAGCAAACGAGGGCACCCAGATGGCCCGGGGCCACGGGCCGAAAGGCACGTCTTTCAGAGGTGGTGAGATGTTTTTATGAGGTGTGTCTTATGGTTGACAAATTCTGGCAAAACGGGTCTAGGACGTGTTTCTGAATCAATGAGAATGTCCTTGGGGTCCGACCCTATGCGGGCTGTTCGGGGGTGCGCATGGGGAGGAGGCCGACCTGTGCTGGCCCCACTGCCCCTCAGCCCTGCAGCTGAGGGTCAGGAAGGACGAGTTTTTGTTTGTGCTTTCACTCTCACGTGCTCTGGAACGGTGTTTTCTAAACAGGATTGTGCCGTGGTGATTTCACATCGTCGCCAAAATCCCGACGTCCTTACCCCCTGGTTTTGTGTTTGTTGTCGCTGACAGGTGACACCCGTGGAAGGCTTGGTCTGGTCTGCAGGCCACACCCACAGCCCTGCTCTCGGGGACTTTGTCCTTGTCTGGGCCTTTAAGAATGATCATGGTTTCGAGACTGGGAACATTTAAAGTCCTGGATTTGCCGCTGGTCTTCAGCCAAAGCGGCTGTTGCACAAGGTGTGGCCGTCTGGGAGGGTTTCTTGGAAGAGGTTGGCCCGAGTGGAGCTTCTCGGCGTGGATGCTTGGAGGGCTCAGGGCACCTGCTGTCCTGTGTGGGGCCTTGCTTTGCCAGCAGCACGCTGAGCTGCTCTGTGAGCAGGCGGGGTGTAACTGTGATGTCCCTTGCTGTCTGTAGAGTGCGCTAAATGTTGGACCGAGTACGGAATCCGCCATTTCCCCTGCCCGTCGCCAGAGAGCAGCCCGCAGGACCCCTGTGTGGGCAAGGATGGGGAAGGTGATCTGGGGTCGGCGGGCACGCCCAGAGGCCCAAGGGCCAGGAAGCGAGGTACTTCCACTTGGGTGCTGGGTGTGGGGGGTCCTGGGAAAGGCCACCCGGAGATGCCAGGTGCTGGGGGAGGGCTGGCGGGCAGGAGCTGGGTGTGTCAGCTGGAGGGGGCGCACAGGCATGTGGAGCAAGGGGCAAGTTGCAGCACGGATTCTGGGTGGCCTGCCTCTCACCCCCACTCACCTTCCCCTCCCCCAAGGACGGCAGACGGCGTGATGTGGCTGGGTCAGCGGTGGGAGAGCGGTTGTGTGATGGCTGGTGCTTGTAAGGGCCCCCTGGGCTCCAGGGAGGAGGCTCAGCCTGTGGGGCGAGTTCATGCGGCCCCTTCACTCCAGAGCCCGGCTGCTGCTCTCAGGGGGAGGGGGTGAGGGAGCGTCAGGGTCCTTGACATGTGCATTAGGGAGGGGAGGATGTGTGGGCCTCTGAGGAGGTGGTCTTTCAGTTGATAGGGGTCTGGGGGAGACAGGCTGCCCTCTGAGTGCTCCCCAGGGGCTCACATGTCCCTCGGTCCTCAGGGGCTCTCAGTGTCGGGGGCTCCCTCTTTCCTTGCAACTGGGAGATGCTTGCTCTCATGGGGGCTGCCTCTTCTGCCCTTATAGAGGGTCCCCCTGCCCCCTGGCAGGCACAGGCTGGCTGCTGACGAGGGCCCCCAGTGGACAGAGGCCTGCAGGCTGGGTGCCGTGTGCCTGCCCAGCCCAGGGACCCCCAGGAGCACAGGAGAGGGGGTCTGTGGGGGCACAGAGGGAGTGGAGGCCGCGGCCACGGCGACGTGCCTGCCCTCCTGCTCCTGTCGTCCACTTGCTGTGCGCTCACGGCTCGGCAGGAAGGTGGGTGGTTTTCGAGGCAGTCTCAGGGCTGGGACTCGGACCCGGGCCTCTGGACACCCCGCAGGGAGCAGGTGGTGCTGGGTGCAGGCAGCCATGCCTGAAGCCGAAGCCACAGAGGAGGCGGCGGCGTCCTGGGAGCCACGGCTGCCACCCCCACCAGCCCCTGGCCTTAAACACCCACCTTTTGGTGCCTTTCCAGGGCCAGGGGTCACCCCTGAAGGCAGTGGGACGCCGGAGCCGCCCTCACCACCCGCTGCTGGCCCAAGGAGGGACTCCTCGGGCGGCATCCACAGCCGGCTGGCGGGGCCCAGCGCCACGCGCGCTAAGAAGAGGAAGCCTAACTTCCGCCCGCAGGAGACGGAGGTCCTGGTGTCCAAGGTCAGCAAGCACCACCAGCTGCTGTTCGGCACGGGGCTGCTGAAGGCCGAGCCGGCCCACCGGTACCGCGTGTGGAGCCGCATCCTGCAGGCCGTGAACGCGCTGGGCTACTGCCGCCGCGACCTCGTGGACCTCAAGCACAAGTGGCGGGACCTGCGCGCCGTCGTGCGGCGTAAGCTGGCTGAACTCCGGCGTGCGGCCGCCGGCCCTGGGGGGCCCCAGGCCCTGGCCCTCACGCCCGTGGAGCAGGCGGTGGCCAAGACCTTCTCCTGCCAGGCCCTGTGCCCCGAGGGCTTCGGCCCGGAGCCGCCCCGAGGTGAGTCGCTTGTCCGGGCCGGCCGGCGGGCAGGAAGCAGAGACCCGCCGTGGCTGCTCCACGTCCCTCCGCCCGGGGGCTTCCCGCCGCCGCTCTTGGGGCGGTTCCCGCTCCTTGGCGCCTGCACTCGCGTGGCCGCGCGGGGACATCAAGGCGCGGCGGCTGCGCTTTCCTCCCCTGGGCTTTGCCTCTGCCGGCTTGAGCCCGGCTGTGGGGTGGGGACCTGGGCGCCCACAGGACGCGGATGTCTGCTTCCTGCCTCTGGACTGGCACCTGCGGGAAGAAACGCGTTTTCTCGTGCGGTCCCACTGCGCGCTCACACCTGAGATACGAGCTTTCCAGGGCCATGGTTCCTCCGCCTTGTCCCCCATGCCCTGAAGTTTGTCGCCTCTGCCCCGCTCCAGCCTGGCTGCTACCCTGTCCGCTGAGTGAGTGACCAGGTGGCAGAGCTGTGGACTGGAGGGCCAGGCTCTGTTGCTGGCTTAACCTGCGGGACAGGCCTCCATCTAGGCTGGGCCAGCCCTGCGGTGTCAGGATGGGCAGGTGGGTGGCTTTGGGGGCAGGTCGCCCTGGAGCCCATGAGGTCCTTCCATGGCTGTTTTCCAGGGAGAGTTTCTCTGCGGGCTGTGACTTCTCCTCATCCGGCCCGGTGGGTCAGGGGGGTCGATGGACATCAGCCCGGTGTCCAAGAGCCCAGCGGACTGGGTCCCAGACCGGTGCCTGCCACATGGACATGCGCGGTCCCTGTGGGGCCCACGGGGCACAGAGATGTGTGGGGGCAGCTGCAGCCACGGGCAGGGAGCAGGGAGGATACAGGCTGAGCCCAGATTCTGGCAGTTAGGGCCGGGGAGGGAGGTGGGCCTGTCCTTTGTGCGTGCTTCCTGGGTCGTAGGTGGGTGCCGGTGTTAGGTTCTGACGACCGTTTCTCCTTCCTCACCTAGTCTTTGACTTTGAACCAGGGCTGGAAAATACACCTGGGGCATCAAGAACAAAGCAGGAGCAAGCCCCCAGCTCCTGGCCCGCATGGCTTTGCGATTGCTTTCCAGACGTTTCCTCCTCATGAGGCCCTGGAGGGTCAGCCTGCCCTCGCAGGGGAGGGCCGTTGACTGTAGTTTCAGGAGCTGTTGAGCGCCGTGGGGTGCTACCCTGTTATGGGCCCCGGTGCGTGTGCTGCTGCTCACTGGGGATCCCCTGCAGCCTGCCCACACGTGGATCTGGCCCCACGCCCCCAGGCAGCAGCGCCTGTGCACTGGGGTGCTGGGGCGCCGCGGTGCTGGGTTTCACCCAGGCCTGTCTGCTCAGCAGCTGGGAGGTCTCCTGACTTCCCTTGCTCATCCCACGTCTGGGGCTCTGTATCGCACTTGGCCTTCTCCTGCCCAGCCCTGCCACCAGCCGTTCGTCACACCCGGGAGCCGCTGCGGTGGGGCAGAGCCTGCCGTCCGCTTGGCGCATGCGGCAGGGCAGGTGGGGCCATGTTGGGTTCCCGGGGGTCTCTGTGCTCCTACCCCCTCCTCCGGTATCACTGGTGGGGCTGCTGCGGCAGCTGCCTGGGGGCCCGGAAGAGGAAGGGCAGGGGCTGGAGCTGACGCGGAGCCGGGCCCCTTGGTTCTGGAAGGCTTTGGCAAGTGTGTGCCGGTGGCCTCAGGTCCCCTTCCTGCCGCGGGCAGATGGTGCCGCGCACCTGCCCAGAGATGCCACTGGGGCAGGAACCCTGATTTGGTGGTTCAGCCGCGTCCCATCATCTCTGCTCACAGTAGAAGCAGCGGGCGGGGAAGAGGACTCCCGGAGAAAAGCTGGATAAGTTCATCCGATTTTCCTTTTTTTATTTTACTCTATCCGCGCCGCAGGTGGGGCCTGGGACCCGGCTTCACAGAGAGGAGCTCGTGAGCATGCGGCGCGTCCACGTGTGAGGTGTGCCCCGGGCGCACCCCCACCGGCTCCCCCACTACTGGTTCCCCCGGCGCGGAGTTTGGCGAGGCCCTCCCCTTGCCCGCCCCGGCCCAGGGCAGCTGCTGGCTTGCTTTGTGCCGCCACGGCGTGGGCCTCTGTGGACCTGCGGGCACAGGGACTCCAGGGTCGGGGTCCGGTGGCGTGTCCTCTCGTCGCTCAGGACTGGGCGTCTCCCAGTCTGTGTCCCGTCGCCTCGATGCACATTTCCGTGCTGGGTGGCTTTTGGCTGAGTGAGGGTCCGCGATCGCTCTCCCCTGCCGCGGCAGACGCTGTCACTCTTTTGGGCGCTGGGCAGACAACGCTTCAGTGTCCCCGAAGCCACCAGACTGGTTTCTGAAGCGCCGTCTTGCTCCATCCCCACAGCAGCCCCGCGTGCTCCTGCCGTGGGTGTGACTTCGGCCGGTGCCCGGCGGTGCGGGTAGGGCTGTCGCTGTAGCGGGAGCCCGCCCGTCCCTGGTGGGGACGCCCGTGTGCTCGTGGGCCGTGCGTGCGTCTCCCCTGCGGTGGTCGGCGCTTGCCTCGGGCTCGGACCTGCTCCCGCCCGTCCTGGCTCCTGGGTTCCGGGGTCGTGGGACAGCAGCTGCGTTGTAGACCGTCTGGCGGGCTCTGGGCTGCCTTTGCTTTCCTTGATGGTCTTTTTGAAGCGTTTTAGGTTTTGATGTTATCAGTGTTTTCTTTTGGGCTTTCTGCTCTTTGTACTGCACCTACAAAGTTCTCACCTGCTCCCAAGTCCCAGGAGTATTGTTTTTTGAAGGTTTTTTTTTTTTTGAGACTTTATTCTTTTGAGGGGGGGGGAGAGCACGGGGGGGGGGGGGGGCCGATGAAGAAGCAGACTCCAGCTGAGCAGGGAGCCCGACGCGGGGCTCGCTCCCGGGACCCCGAGGTCACGAGCCGAGCTAAAGGCAGACGCTTGACTGACTGAGCCACCCGGGTGCCCTGTGTTTTGAAGTTTTAGCTTTTGTGTCTGACTGACATGTGCGGAGTTATCGTGAGTTTTGTTGCTTTGGGACTGGGGATCGGCGGACATCCAGCTGTCGGCCGCCGCTGCTTGAAGAGACCGAGTCACCTTGACGCGTCACGACGCCACTGGGGGGTCGACCTGTTCCTGGCGATCTGGGTCCCTGCTTCTCGCAATGCCCGGCCGCCTTGCCTCTCAGTAACTGCAGAGCAGGTCTTGAGGCGGGCGGGGAATTGGTTTCTCCGCCTCTGTTTCCTGAGAGAATTTGTGTAGAATTGATACTATTCTTCCCTGAACTCTGGCAGAATTCACCGGGGAAGCCTCTGAGCTGGTATTTCATTGTGGGAAGATCAGAAACTGCAGTTTCTTCAGCGTCACAGCGTCACGTGATCGCTACAGTGTCACCACGTCGCGTGTCGCGTGTCGCGTGTCGCGTGTCCAGTGCTAGGTGTCCGGTGCTGCCTGGCCTTCTGCTGCGTCTTATAAGACCTTCGGTCATTGGTGTTTTCATGGGACCTACGCGCTGCGTCGAGGCTGTGACGTTCGCTGCGCGCTCTCGTCTGCGGGACTCCCCGCGTGGCGCTGGCGTGCCTGTCCGCTCGGCACGGAGGCTGCCTGTCCCACGGCTGACGTTTCTAATTGTGTTTTCTCTGTTTCGTACTTGACCGGTCCGATTGCACGTCCATCCATTTTATTGACTGTTTCAAAGGACCAGATTTCGATTTCGTCAATCTTCTCTGTTTATCCAATGTTGAGTTAACTGATTTTTGCTCATCTTTGTTATTTCCTTCCTTTTCCTCCCTCTGGGGTTAACGTGCTTCTGGCTTCTGTTGGATCGTTGACTGGAGCCCTTTTTCTTTCCTAATGTGAGTGTTTTTGCGGTAAGTTTTCCTCTGCGCGTTGCTTCACTTAAACAGTTTTGCACATACTCTGTTTTCGTTCATCCATTTAAAATATTTTCTGATTCCTTTGTATTTTTTTCTCTAAAGAGTGGTTGTTCAGAAGCATGTTAAGTTTTCAGATAAGTCTTTCTGTTCCCAGATGTCTGTCTGTCTGACTTCTAGCTTAATTCCCTTGTGCTCGGAGACTGTTGTGTGCTGTCAGCCGCCGTGTTGTCTGAAATACAGCCTATCCTGGTGTACGTGCTGCGCGTTTGACGAGAGCGTATCTGGCTTCTGTTGGGTGGAGCGTCCTGTAAACGTCACTTGGGTCCAGTCGATCGACGGTGTTGCTCAAGTCTTGGTCTCCTCACGGATGTTCCGTCTGCCGCCCCGCGTGCTGCCCGCAGGGGGACGACTGTCCCTGGAACTGCGCATTTGTCTGTTCCTCCGTTCAGTCCCGTCCGTCTCTGCTTCAGACATTCTCACGCTGCGGTATTGGGACCGCGCCCGCCTGGGACTGGTGTGTCGTCTTCATCAGCTGACCCCTTTGTCGCCGTGAAAACCTTCCTATGTCTCTGCTCGTGTGCGTGGTTCTGAATTCTCCGTGCTGGCATCGCCGCTCCAGCTTTCTCAGGATCGCGGTCTTACAAAATGTGTTTTCCAGCCCTCCGGCTTGGCCTTACTTCTGCTTGTACGTCCGAAGTGCTCTTCCTGTGCTCCGTGTCCGTGGAGTTTGCTCCTGACCCCGTCTCACCACCCTACCTCGACCGGAGCGGCTGCCTTGGTGCCGTCCTCGGGGGCTTTGCTGATGACGGGTTCCGTGGTCTGCGCCCGCAGCGTGGCCGCCGGTGGCCACACGTGGACTGTGCTCGAGCGCGAGCTTAAAGCCAGCGTGCTGCCGTCTTGGTGTTTGCTCTCCGGATTGCCCTTTCTTCTCCTTTCTGGCTTCGGTTGCGTTTTGGAGGAACTGCGTGTTTATTCCGTTTTGGCCCCGGCTCGTGGCTCATCAGCGATACCTGCCCGCTCTGTGTTTTAGTGGCCGCTTCGGAGTCTGGCGTCCGCCGAGCTGCTGCCTGTGTGTGCCCTCAGGTCCCGCTTGGTCACTTTGCGTGTGACGCGGGAGGCTCATGCGGCCGACCCCTGCCGCCCTTCGGAACGGCGTCTTGTTCCTGCCTTCACCTTAGTAATCCGTGTTCTCTGAGATAATCTCAAATGAGACACGGTGTCTTTTTTCTCTGCCCTCACGCCCGCCCTCCCACACTCTGGCTTCTCATGTAGACCCTGTTTCCTTTTACCATTTCTTTTGACCTGAGAGATTTTGTTTAACGCTTCCTGGGCTGCACATCCGGCCCGGACGGAGTCTCTCAGCCTTTTTGTCTAAAAGAAGTCTTTCTTTTTCTTCTATTTTTGGAATATATTTCCGCCGGGTATAAAATTCTGGTTGAAAGATTTTTTCCTTCTTTTGGCACTTTGCCCTGTCGCCGTGGCGTGTTTGGGCAAAGCGCTCCCCGTGTCTCGGTCCCTGGTGGCGGGCATGCTCCTCCGGCCCCTTCGGAAGTGTCCTTGTCACCACAGTTTTGATGTCTCCCACGGTTTTGACTGCTGTGCCTTGGGGTCTGAATTTTTAGTATTTATTCTGTTTGGGACTTTATGAAATTCTTCATGGAACTCTCAATTTTTAATTGCGTAAAGTTTCGGTACTTGTGGTCCTTATTTCTTGAACTTCTCCCAGTTTGTTGCCTGCCTGTGGCTCCTCCTGTGGCTCTGCAGGTGCTGGGCTGCTGGGTGTCGCCTTGAGGTCCCCTGTGGCTCAGCCGCTGTGCTGCCCTCGAATCCAGTCCCCTGTGCCCTGCACGCTGTCTGCCGCCGACCCTGGGCAGGGGAGGCGCACGGCGGTGTCCTCTGCGGGGTCTGCAGAAGTGCCCCTGCGACTTTTCCGCGTCTCCGGTCCCTCCTTGCCGGGTGGACGCGCCCGTGTCCTTCAGCGCTGTTGCAACGGGGAGGAGTGATTTTCTCTACTACTGGTGTCGTCTCTGTTGTTTCCGCGTCTGATTCTCTGTTGGCAGATTTTTCTTACGGTTAAGGGCCCTGTATGTGCTCCTGCTGCTTTGTGTGTCCTGGAAGTTCTGTGAGTTTTGAGTGCTTTTGTGTTGGGTTTGGTTGTCTCACTCGAGGAGGATTAGATTTTGGTTCTGGGGCAGTGGACTTGTGGGTCACTGTGCTGTCTCAGGGCATTTCTGAAGCAGCCATCACACTGAGGCTGACTTTACCCGCTGCTCCGGAGGTGTGGCCCGGGTGGTCACTGCCGGATGCCGCGGGGCCCAGAACTCCTGTCCTCCTGGGAGACTTCCCTGACGCACACCGACCGTGCTGGGGAAGGAGGCGGCCTGCAGCTCCCTCGTAACCCCTGTGCCCTGCGCCCAAGGGGTGTCCTTCCCTGTGGAGGCACAGACATGTCTTTGGCCGGAAACCAGGGGACCAGGTCTGCCTCAGTCTCCCCTCTGTCTCCTCAGGCCCGTGGTGTGGCCTTGCTCAGGGAGATGGGCGGGGTGGTGCTCTCCTGGGGCTGTGCTGGAGCTTGTCCAGGATCAGAACGTCGTTTCCCGTCTTTCATGCAGTTTTAGCTGTTTTCAGGGGGCGGTGATCCTGGGCCCCATTCCCTTATGACAAATGCTGCTCTGCATTGTGTTTCTGGGAGAAGCTGGCTGATTTTTTTAGGTCTTAATTTCTGGATTTCGTCGGCTGGCATGTACCTCTGAGCCGAGAGTCGCCCCGTGTTGCTGACCTATGCTGATCACAGTGACCTCTTTGCGTCTTCCCTTGCCCGTTTCTCCTCTGTGTTTCCCGTGCTGGTGGCTGGCCCCCTTCCCACCCCAGTCACGCCTATGGGACATCTGGGTCCAAGGGGCATGATGTCCTCCCTGTCCCCCCGCTCCTGCAAGTTCAGCCTCCCACAGCCCTGCCACCTCTTCCCTGAGGCCCGGACCCCATCATCCTGCCCTCACCTGGCCTGGACCCTAGGCCTGCGTCAGTCCCCTGGGCGGCATGCGGCGGCCCTGCTGCTGTCGCGCGGTCACCGTCTCGCTGCCTGCCCTGTCTGACGGGTGGGCCCCTGGGTGTGGGGGCTGGGTGCACAGTCCCTGTGAGCCTGTCCCCCCCACCCCCCAGCAGCCCCAGCAGCGTGTTTGGGGCCGTAGGCCTCTGTCCCCTGTGCTGCTGTGTCCGTGTCACAGTAAAGAAGAGGTTAAGCCTCAGTCTCCCCGTGCCACTACCAGGGGAGCCCTCCAGCTGCGGCTCTGCCCTTGCCCGTGTTGGCCAAGGCCCGAGGTCATGCTCCATGGGATCCCAGCGGGGAAGAGGTGCGAGAGGCCGACCCGGGCCAGCAGCTTCCTTGTAAGAACACAAGGGGAAACTGCTCTTGGACGCTCTAACTCCAGGCTGAGGACTGTCCCATGGGCCCTTTTGGCTGCCAGGGGGTGTCCGAGCTGCGTGGCTGGGTGCGAGGACCGAGGGGAGCCTGGCTCCTAGGGAACGGGCCTCAGCCGGCATTCCTGGGTGTGCTCTGGTGGGATAGAAGCCCCCAGGCCTCCCCCGGACCTCCGTGGGGGCGGAAGGCTGTCTGGGCACTGGGCTGGGACGTGTGCACCCCCCACGCCCCGTGGGTCTGCCGCAGTTCCCAAGGCAGCCCGCTGACAGCCCCCTCCCCTTCCCGCCATGCTTTCCAGGCGTGCCCACGGCATCTTTAGTGCGCCCCAGTCCCCCTGGGGCTGGTGGCGTGGTGTCGGAGACTGCCAGTGCACCCACGGCCGCTGTGCAGGTGGCCTTCCAGGCTGCTCGCAGGCCCCAGCTCCCTGTACTCCTGCCAGGAAGGGGCCTGCTCCCCATGAGGGCCTGGCGCCGGGCAGGCAAGCTGCATCTGGGTCCCCCCGCGGAGACCCGTCAGCCACCCCCGTGGGGTGTGCTCTCCCCACCCGCCTCTGCCCGTTCCTGGGCCACTTCCTCCTCCTCTCTGAGCTCAGCTGCTTTGGCCCCGGGTCCGAGACAGAATGTCTCAAAGCCAGTAAGCCAGTGTCGTGCGTCACCTGGGGACGCAGAGCCACGGCGGCAGGAGTAGACCGGGCCGGGTGGTGGCTGGCGAGCCCATGGTTGGGCTTCAAGAGGTGTCCAGAGGAAGACAGCTTTGAGAAGGGGGATGGGCAGCCTCTGCCCCGGTGTAATGGCTTCTGGAATCATCTCCACACAGACTTGGAGGACAGGAAAGGCTTTCAGAGCCACACGCCGCCTCCTCTCATTTCGTACCGTGGCATAGGAGCCAGTGTTGCCTGAGCCCCTGCTTGTGTCTGTCCCGCAGAAAAGCTCCCACCAACCTTCCTGCTGCATAGGCGAGGGCCTTGAGGCTGCTCAGTCTGGGGTGGGGGCCCAGAGGCCACGGCACCCCATTCCCACCCAGGCTACCGCCCCCTCTCCCCCCGACCCTTGTCATCACGGACAAGTCCCTGTCGATTGCCGGGAGACCTGCCCCGGTCTGCCCCGTCCAGGCTGAGGTCCCAGCTTCCCTGGGGCCGGGGGTGGGCAGTGTGGACACCCATGTGAGTCCTTCCTCTCTGTGGCTCCGTCATGTGAAGAGCCCTGCCTGTTCTGTTGGTGGCCAGTGGCACCCTTTCCAGGTTTTGAGAATGAAGCCACCACGAGCGTCTTATGGGCCTGTTAGTGTTTCTTTGCGTGAATCCCAGGGGGCCATGGCTGGACCACGGGGCAGGCGGGGCCTTGTCCTTTAAGGGAGGCAGACCTTGCCGTCGTGGCCACAGTGTGTGGCCTGTCCCCCCAGGACTTGGTGGTGTCCACATAATGTTCAATAGAGTTTTAAAAATTGAGTTAAAACTTACACGGGATGAAATTCACACAACATGAAATTCACCGTGTTGTCCATCTTTAAACGTGCGCTTCAGTGGATTTTAGTATCTCCGACGGCGTGTGCAGCCGTCACCATGGATCATCCAGAACCTTCTCTTATCCACGAAGAAACCACATAGCCAGTAGCCCCCATCCCATCCCCGGCCCAGCCCCTGGCTGCCGTGGATCTGGACACTTGGTCCCGGCCCATGTGAGAGGTTCAGCTGTGTGGTGTGTCGTTGGCGCGGCCCCTGCTTCAGCCTCAGTTGCTGGGCATTGGGTTGTTTCTGTCCTGGGTCTTCTACGTGTGCAGTGACCTCACGCACATGTGCAGGAACTCCCGGGGGCCTGGGTTCCTGTTTCTCTCCAGTGCACCAGCATGGGGACGCGGGATTGCTGGGGCCTCTCTGAGGGGCTGCCCCCTGCTTTCCTCCCTTTGCTGTGGCTTTGTGTGCCCCAGGGCGGGCTTGGCATTCCATCCCTGAGACTCTGGGTGACCCCAGGCTGGGAGGGTGAGACTGCCCGGAGCAGGCAGCCCCGTGAGTGCGTGTGCTGCCCTCTGCTCTCTCCTAGCCGCCCAGGTGGACCCAGGTGACCTCCAGGAGCTGTTCCAGCAGACGTCGGCCAGCGTCTTCCGAATCAACTCCCACGGTGAGTCTGTGCTGGGCTCGTCTCCCCCTCAGCTGACCCGGCCGTCCCCTGACTCGGCCACCCTGCAGCCCAGGACCTGTTGTTGGTCACAGGAGAGGGCTGCGGTCTCAGGGTAGGGCGGGGGCGGCCCGTGTGTCCACTGCTCCCTGCAGTGTGGACCTGTCCTGTCCCCCGGAGGGGGTGCCTCAGAGCCTCCCTCTGCCTGGTAGCATGGGCCGCCTCACGGCTCCCCGGGATCAGGAGTAAGAGTCCTGGCTTGTCCCATCCTTAGTTCCTATAGGCCTGGCAGATGGGGGGCGGCTCGCTGCACCCTGTGGGCAAGGGCTGGTGTTTGTCCCTGAACCCTGAGCTCTGGCAGGTCAGCAGGGGAGTGCTGACTGGGAGAGGAGAGAAAGCCCCTCTCCAGACCTGGGGTGAGGCCCTCAGGGGCAGTTTCCTAGAGCTTGGAGACCATGGGCTGTACCTGAAGGGCTGGGAGAGGACTGTGCCTGGGGGACCTCACGGGGGTATGACTGGCCAAGTGTGGGGCTGGGGCCGGGCTGTAGCACTGGCTGTCCTGGCTCTGTGCCCACGGTCACTGCGTGGTCTCTGTGGCGTTGGCCCCCATGTCCTGGGGCTCCCTGCCCTGCCTCTGCTGGGGGTGGGGGGGTGCAGCCCGGAGTCTGGGGATCACTCGGGCGGGGGTCCTTCTGCTCCTGATGCATGTCCCTTTCTCTGGGCAGTGACCTCCTTGGAGCAGAGCCTCCGGTCCCTGGGGACGCCGAATGACACGCAGGAGCTGAGGGAGAGCCTGTGAGTGTGTGATCGCGGGCATGCCTGTGGGTGTGCACAGGTGTGCCCTACACCCGCTCATAGGCCTGCCTGTCCACAGACCAGCCCCACACCTGCTGGGACCACACGTCCACCCCACACTCCTGAGGGCCAGCTGAGCCCGTGCTTGGAGCTGAAGGCCGAGCTCACAGCAGCGTCCCCCTCCATCCATGCGTGTGGAAGCCTGGCTGTGCCTGTCACACCTGTGCAGACACACCCGTGCGTGCTGGCGTGTGCTCAGGTGGTGAACCAGCTTCCGCCCGTGTGCACAGACGTGTGTGTCACACAGCAGAGCTCACGGCAGGACCTGCACCCTCGTGAGCACACCTGTGGGCATGCCGGCTGCCACGGGGGTGCCGGAGCACAGGCAGCTTGCCCGCTGCGGACACCCAGCTGGGCCTGTGGTTTTGTGGCTGTGGTTCTGCCCTGCGGGTGTCCTGTTGGGCTTTCCTGTCTGCTCGCCCAGGGGCCCAGCCCTGGTTGCATCGGGTACAGAGCCAGCCCAGGGCAAGGCTGCGCTCCCTGCGGGAAGGCTTCTCAGGGGCTGCGTCTCTGGGGAGAGAGAAGGGAGAGCTCTGCCAGGGGGCTGCCTGGCTGGCACGGGGCAGGGGGTTGCTCTGTTTAGGCTCTGTCACTCAGGGCCTGGTGACACGTGATGAGAATGCCCTGTGATCCCAGCACGGCCCGGGTGGGGATCCCTGAGGAGGATCTTGGGACTAGCATTTACGCCCTCCTTCCCTGTGCCACCTCCTGGCCAGGGGACCCTGGGTTGGTTGAGCCCGAGCCTCCCGCCTGGAAGGACGCTAGTGTGGGCCGGTGGACCACATGTGCTCCGAGGGGTGTGGGCTGTGGCCGAGACCACGTGTCTCTTCTTGGCATTGGTGTCTGTTGGAGAGGCCACAGCCCCTCTCTGTCTCTTTGTCACCCTGTCCGTCTGTGTGTCCACCCATCCAGCCACCCACCCATGAATTCATTCCCTTTCCTGTATGCCAACCCCCCTGTCCGTCCGTGTGCCCACCCACTGACGTGCCCACCCACCCAGGCGCTGGTTCACCCGTCCGTCTCACCCAGCTCCCCATCCATCCGGCTTTCCTCCTGTCCGTCCACACAGGCTAGCTGGGACCACTTCTGCCCAGTGTGAGGGTCCCGAGCTTAAGGCAACCAGGGGCCCTTTGTAGATTTTACATACAATTCTGTCTTTAATTATTCGTTTTCTTTTTTAAAAATAACGTATTGTTTTCTGATTGTGAAAGTAGCATATGTTCATTATGGGAAACATGGCCACGCAGGATGTCAGAGTTAACATTTCGGTATTTCCTGCCAGTCTCTTCTCGAGTCCTTACGCATTTTGCAGAATTGGATTTCAGCGAATAATGTTCCGGATCCTGGTTTTTACTGTTAGGAACCTGGAGCATGCGTGCCCTTATCACACACGGGGCGCAGCTCTTCAGAGCGGCGGGCGCAGTTGGACCTGGATCATTAGCGAGCGGACACTCGGGCAGGCCGGCTTGTCCGGCCCTTCCTCTTTCTCGGTCCTGTGACCGGAGTTCCCAGGAGCCATGCTGTGGTGGGTCCTTCTGTTCGCGCCCGTTTCCGGGGTCGGTCCCTGGAGCCGTGTCCCCGGGGTTGAGCGGCGGGCATTTTCAGGGCCCGGGACCTTGAGCGTGTTTTCTGGGCTGCCTTGCCAAGCTGGCTGAAGGCCGACGTCACCGGCGTGGGTTGGAGAGGACAGCCGGCTCCTGCTCCTTCCCCTGCCCGCGTGATAGTGTGGCTGGGGCCATCCCCTGTCCTGCCCTGTTGACCTCAGCTTTTAGACCCAGAAACTCTGGCTTCAGCACCTTCCTGTCTCCCCCCAGCCAGAACCCCACACCCCCCGCTTGGAGCCCCTCTGCCTGCAGGGTAGCTCCGCACCGGCTGTGGGCCGGAACCTCCCAGGCCCCCTTTCATGGCAGAACTGGTGTACCTGGTGGACTGGTAGCATCTGGAAGTGACTGAGGCCAGTGTAAGTTCCAGCTCTGTGTTTTCTCCACGTTGACAGTCGGTGGGTTTTTATTTCGTGAAGTAGGACTAAGAAAAAACGTCACCACCATCCGTTACTGCCCGTGTCTTATAGAAGGTAGAGGAGAGGACGCTTCAGTGCGACATGGCGGGCTCTGATCTCGGGGGGGGACGTTCCTTCGAGAAGAGTAAATCTAGTGACCAGAGAGCCACACAGAGTTGACCTTGACTTTCTTGCCTTGCATGAGACGTGTGGCTTTGCCACTTGTGTCAGGACTATGAGGGGACCCCGCCTTGGGCACACTGCCGTAGGCTCCCCAGTCGGCTGAGGTGGCCGGGATTGAGATCTCTCCCCCGTGGAGTGAAGCTCAGTGGCCAGGGGACCTTGTCTGTCTGTCTGCCTTGTGGGGGTATCACCTAGGCTGCTGTGGAGGGATGGATGGGCATTCCAGGAGCCTTGTGTGGGCACTGTGGCTGCAGAAAGGGGCCTGTCCCTGCAGCCTCGTGGGCACGCTGTGGGACAGCTCTGGTTCTAGTCTGTAGGTCCCTGGGCACAGCATCAGGGTGACGGGGCTCAGCCCACACCTGGCTGGGGTTAGCTTGTGTTCACAACAGGCAGGGAGGCTCTTTCTGGGCTGACGCGGAGGGCTCCCCAGCCCTGGGACCCCGGTGGTCCCAGCTTCTCCCAGCAGGTGTGTGACTGGATGGGGAGGGTCCGCAGCTCCTGGTTGCGGAGGCTGGATGGGGTGAGCCCCCAGCTCCAGGGCCCAAGGGGTCCAGCATGGCCTGCCTCTTCTCCTCCAGAGCCCGCCTTCCCCGGTTCCCACCCCTAGTGCCCCATCCCCCACTGCACTCCCTGGCGCCCTGCCGTGTCTGTAGCCTGGTTCCCCGGCCGGCTTAGCCGGTGAGCCCCGTGCTGACAGGCTGTAGCAGTGGAGCCCCGGGGGCCAGCCCGTCACCCTCTGACTGTGTGACGTTCAGGGTGACCTGGGTGTCTTGGTCTTTGACGTGTGGACCCAGACCCGGCTGGGGGTGTTCCTTGGGAAGGAGGCAGTGATGGCGTCCATGCCTGGTGCTGGGCTCAGCCCGCAGAGATCCCGTCTGACTGACTGAGCAGGGGTGTGGGTGCAGGGAGCCGGAGGGGATGGCGAATGGCCTCAGAGGGTAGCAGTGCTTCTTGGGGGGTATGGTGGCCGCCTGGGCCCCCAGAGCTCCGAGATCCCCCACCCCATGTTGCTGGCAGTCGGCCTGCCTGGGGGGCTGGGGGGCTGGGGGAAGCAGAGCTCTGACTGGATGCCTCTGTGGGGGACTCACTGATTCACTGGGTGCGTGTTGTGGGGCCTCCGCCCGGGGACTGGACTGGATGGGGCAGGTGTGCCTGGGGGAGGGAGGTGACCGCCTGGTGTCCCACTACTCGTGTGTGACAGAGGGGACAGTCTCCTGACCAGTCATCTCAGGTCTGGGGGGGCCGGTGTGTGTGTGCTCTCGCGTGACCCTATGGTGGTCGAGGGCGCCCACGTGGGTGTGTGTACAAGAGGTGTCTGCTTGGGATCTGCCCACTGCTTGTGGGGGGACAGGGCAGAGGCCCCGGCAGGGGGATGGGGCCCTGGGGAGCCCCTGGCTCCAGGTGGGTACCTGTTCCCTGCCTTGGCAGAATTTCTGTGTCCGGACCGGCTCCAAGTGGATCAGGGAGGCCTGGGTCCCGCTAATCTAGTGCCGCACGGATCCAGGCCCCTGGGCTGGCCCCGTCTTCCTCCTCGCAGAGCTCAGCCTAGCAGGACCCTGAGCCCCGTGAGCTGCTCCTTCCAGCCTGAGCATGGTCACATTCATGAGTGCGCGCATCTGCGGAGACGGGGCAAGGCTTGCTCAAGAGCTGGGGCTCGGGGGCGGGCGCATGTCCAGCGCCCTCTGTCCTCTGCTGTTAGGGGCTGTCAGTAGTGCCGTTGGCCCTATCACCTGGGCTGACGACTCCTCCGAGCTGGGGCCTCCTTGAGCACGTCAGAAGTCAGGCAGGGGAAGGAGGGCTTCCCCGGGGCCACAGAGGACTGCTCCCCGGGAAGTGCAGGAGCTGTGCACCTGTCATTGTGACCTGGGCGGGCCGCCAGGACTTGGCGTGATGCTCAGCTCCGTCCCTCGGGGAAAGCTGACAGCAGCCCTGGGGCCGGCCTGCAGGCCTGGAGGCCCGTGGGCTTGAAGCACGGAGCTGGTGGGCCGTTGGGCCGGTGCTGGAGGTGTGTGTTGGCTCCAGGATGCCTGGGGCTCAGCTGGGAGCACTCAGCACTAGGGGGGCTCTGCGGCTGCAGCTGGAGGACCTGGAGCCTTCTTCTCCACTCCCGGTCAGCAGATGTGTGGAGCTCAGCTGGGAGGTCCCTCGCGGCGTCCACATGCGGGCTCTCCTGCGGCCAGGGCTCCCTGGGGCCCAGCGGCCTCACGGTGCTGACGTTGGTCAGCTCAGGGCTCCGGTGCAAGTGCTAGGCGGAGGAGGGAGGAGTGAGCCTGTCCATGTTCAAGGAAAAGCGACTCAACTCCACCCCTCCGGGGGGGCGGTCAGAAACTGTGGCCACCCTTAAGACTGCTCTAAGCTTCCATGCAGCAGTGGGTGTGGTGGCGGAGCCCCCAGAGGAGGGGCCTGCAGCCCCTGGGGAGGCGTGTCAGCAAGGTGGGTGCAGGTCCGGCCCTGTGGGCCTTCTGGGCCTGGCACATGGCTCAGGCTTTATTTCCAAAGCAGTAGGAAGCCAGTGGAAGGTTCTAGAACACAGTGGCCTGGTGGACGGCCATGAAGACAAGTTGGAGGAGTGGGCTGTCGCTGTGGGCGGAGGGCGCTGCAGGAGAGGCAGGGAGGATGGCTGTGCAGGGCCTGGACGGCTGCCCCTTGGCCTGGTGGGTTGGGGGCTGAGCCCCTGCCTGACCGGGACTTCCTGACCGCAGGCAGCGGAGACTCCTGCACACCCCCAGGGACCACACTGCTGGGCTGGGGGAGAGCC